TGGGAGATAAATGGGCACTGATTGCCAGAAGTTGTGCTAAACTTGATTTTTTTCTTTCTATTTGTTTAGGTAGTGTGTGTTAGATGAATTCCAGAATAACAAAAATACCTTACAAAAAACAAACATTCAGGAATATTAAAAATATGCTTCATATTTAATGGAGGAAATAGCATAGGATTTGACCACATGTTTTGAACTAATCAGTCTTCACGAATGCCTTTCATCTGAAATACAGTCAGTTCATCATAGTATCATAGTTTCATAGTAGCTAGGGTCAGGAGAGACTTGAACAGATCATCTAGCCTGCCCCCCTGCCACAGGCAGGAATGAACGCTGGGTTCACAAGACCCCAGACAGATGATCGTCCAACCTCCTCTTGAATTTGCCCAAGGTAGGGGTGAGGACCACTTCCCTGGGAAGTTGGTTCCAGATTTTGGCCACCCTAACTGTAAAATATTGCCTTCTGATCTCTAACCTAAACCTATTCTCCATCAGCTTATTACCATTGTTCCTTGTCACCCCAGGTGGTGCTGGGGAGAAAAGGACTCTACCTTTTTGCTGTTGATCTCCCCTGATGAGTTTGTAGGCAGCCACCAGGTCCCCCCTCAGCCTCCTCTTGCTGACGCTGAACAGGTTCAGGTCCCTCAGTCTCTCCTCGTAGGGCCTGTCCTGCTGCCCTCTCACCAAGTGGGTGGCCCTCCTCTGAACCCGCTCCAGGCTGGCCACATCCCTTTTGAAATGCGGCGCCCAGTACTGGATGCAGTGCTCCAACTGCGGCCTGACCAAAGTCACATAGAGGGGGAGTATCATGTCTCTGGACTGGCTTGAGATGCATCTTTGGATGCATGACAATGGCTGGTCTTGCTGACTGCGGTCTGGCATTGGCGGCTCATGTTCATTTTGGAGTCAATAATGACTCCAAAATCCCTTTCCACCTCTGTGCTTTCAAGAAGGGAACTCCCCAGCCTGTATGTATGCTGTGGATTCCTTCTCCCAAGGTGCAGCACCCTGCATTTGTCTACGTTGAATCCCATCCTATTCTTGTCTGCCCACTTTTGTAGTCTGTCTAAATCTATTTGCAGCCTCTCTCTCCCTTCAAGTGTGCCCACCTTGCCCCACATCTTAGTATCATCAGCAAACTTGGACAGTGTGCTTTCCACCCCCTGGTCCAAGTCACTGATGAAGATGTTAAACAGTGCGGGCCCAAGGACTGAGCCCTGGGGTACCCCACTGCTCACATCTCGCCAGGTTGAGTACAACCCATCCACCACTGCTCTCTGGGTGCACCCCATCAGCCAATTTTTTACCCATCCAACTGTGTGGGCATCAATGCCACAGTCGCTTAATTGATGAGGATGGGGTGAGAGACAGTGTCAAAGGCCTTCTTAAAGTCTAGAAAGACTATGTCCATGGCAACACTATCATCCAAGGATTTAGTTACTTGGTCATAAAAGGCAATCAGGTTGGTCAGGCAGGACCTGCCTTTGCTGAACCCATGCTGATTGCCCCTGAGCATGATCTCCCCTGCAGGGCCCTCCTACTGAAAGTATATGAGCCCGGTTTACCACTCCATTACGTCAGTTTTATTCCAGGGTAGAACAGTAAAACATAAAGGTAGATAACAGTATAATAGATGGGGTTCAAACCCAATGGCTAAGTACAGACAGTCAAAAAGCCTGAGGCTGAATTGATTCAATCTTCACAGGTTAGTCTAAATTCAGTAGATTAAACCGATAAACAAGTAAACAAACTTTTGATTCCAGAAATCCAGTCTCATGCCTGAAGTGGCCCAGGCCAGAAGCTAGCGAGTAGTTAAGCACATCTGCCTGCTCAGCTGGGGGAGACAGCTTGGGCCAAGCCTAGCCTGCCCACCCTGTGAGGGGGGAGGTATGGAGGGGAGGTGCAAAGTGTCCTAGGATGATGGGGGACTGTAAGTTACCTTGAATCTGAAGAGGATCTGGGACAGAAGTTCAGTAAATCAATTGAACCTAAATCACAGAATCATAGGAAATTACGGTAGGGAGGGACCTCAGGCAGGAGGTCATTTAGTCCAACCCCCTGCTCAAAGCAGGACCATCCTCAACTAACCCATCCCAGACAAGGCTTTCTCTAGCCAGGTCTTAAAAGCCTCCAAGGATGGAGATGCCACCACTTCTCTGGGTGACCTGTTCCAGTGCTTGACTACCCTTCTGGTGAGAAAATTCTTCCTAATATTTAACCTAAACTTCCCTTGCTGCAACTTAAGACTGTTGCTCCTTATTCTGTCATCTGTTACCACTGAGAACAGTCTGGCTGTATACTTTTTTGAAATCCCGTTCGGTAGTTGAAGGCTGGTATTAAATCTCCTCTCAGTTTTCTCTTCTCTACACTAAATAAGCCCAGTTCCCTCAACCTCTCCTCAGAAATCATGTGCCCCAGCCCCTGAACCATTTTCATTGCCTTTGGCTGGACTCTTTCCAATTTGTCCTCATCCTTTCTGTAGTGGGGGGCCAAAAACTGGACACATCACTGAAGATGTGGCCTTACCAGTGCTGAATAGAGGGGAATGATCACTTCCCTTGACCTGCTGGAACACACCTACCAATGCAGCCCAGTATGCCGTTAGCCTTCTTTGCAACAAGGGCACACTGTTGGCTCATATTCAGTTTATTGTCCACTGTAACCCCTATGTCCTTTTATGGAGAGCTGCTGTCCAGCCAGTCAGTCCCCAGTATGGCATTTTTCTGTCCTAAGTGCAGGACTTTGCACTTGTCTTTGTTGAACTGCATGAGATTTATTTTGGCCCAATCCCCCAATTTGTCTAGGTCACACTGAATTCCAGTCCTATCCTCCAGCGTATCTACTACTCCCCCCAGCTTGGTGTCATCTGCAAACTTGATGATGTTGCACTTTATGCCATCTTCCAGGTTGTTGGTGAAGACATTGAAAAAAACTGGCCCCAGGACCAACCGCTAAGGCACTCCACTTGATACTGGCTGCCAACTAGACATCAAACCAGTGATTACTACCCTCTGAGCCCAGTGCTCCAACCAGTTTTTTATCTACCCTACAGTCCATTCATTCAGCCCATACTTCCTAGCTTGCCTGTGAGAATACTGTGGGAGACTGTATCAAAAGCCTTGCAAAAATCAAGGCATACCACATCCACTGGTCTGCCCTCATCCACAGGGCCAGTCATCTCATCCTAGAAGGCAATCAGGTTAGTCAGGTATGACTTGCCCTTGGTGAATCCATGCTGACTCTTCCTAATCACCTTTTTCTTCTCCAAACGCTTAAAATGAATTCTTTGAGGATCTGTTCCATGTTTTTTTCCAGGGACTGAGGTTAGGCTGACTGCTCTATAGTTCCCTGGATTCTCCCCCCACCTTTCCTTTTTGCCTTTCTTAAATATGTACACTGTTTGCCCTTTTCCAGTCATCCAGGACCTCTCCTGATTGCCATGAGTTTTCAAAAATGGTGGCAGCAGCTCTGTAATCACATCAGCCAACTCCCTCAGCATCCTTGGTGCATCCCATCTGGCCCCATGGACTTGTGTATATGTCCAGCTTTTCTATATAGCCCCTAACCCGTTCTTTCACCACTGCTGGCTGTTCACCTCCTCCCCAAACTGTGCTGCCAGGAGCTGACCTTGCCTGTGAAAACTGAGATAAAAAAGGCATTGAGTACTTTAGCCTTTTCTGCATCCTCTGTCATTAAGTTGCCTCCCCCATTCCGTAAGGTACCCATATTTTCCCTGATCTTCCTTAATCAGTTAAGTCTGATATTACATGCAACCAGGTTTATCTTAAACCAGTTTCAGCCCTTTCTGAAAGTGGTTTATGTGCACTGAACTTCTGTTGCGTTACAGATTTCAAGTAGTTTCTGATCACTTATACTAGTTTATGTGTAATTCCTGTTCCTAGCCAATATGTCCCTCAGGGTTTGAGGCAACTGTACTAAACCCGAAAGATTTGAGGAAATTCTAGATCGATTGTGTAAAGCCACCAACAGCATAATCCCAGTGGTGTGACATCCTGTATTGTCTGCATGTTGCACCCACTTGCCAAATACTCCTTATCATCATTTGCTGTTGTAAAGGTTAAAATCACAAAATAATGGCAACGTCTTCCACTGCTGGTTATTTTGTGAATCTCTGAAATTCACTTCAACAATTGTGGCTTCTTTACCTCATTCCCTGTTCCTAAATGTGAGAGAGGCATGGATATTTTTCTTCCTCTCTTTTCTCCCTTACTGGCTTGTTGGAATAATTGGATTTGATCCTGGTTGCTGTTGCCCATTGGTTTAGTGTTCTGTCTGTGGCCTCTCAGGAGACCAGGCAGACTGAAAGAACCTCAGTTAGCCCCTTAAGTTCCAATTCTCATTTATACAAAAGTCATTGTACTGCTCTCTGAGTACGTAACTGTAATTTATATTCCGTTTGCAGCCCCTTTACCTGGCCAGAGTACTGCAAAGTGGTCTTAAACATAGGTGAAAATCAGACCTACACTCTCAAGGAGCTGTATACATAGCATACCAAAAAGTTACCTGTGTCATTACTGCTTTTAAAACAACTTACAAATATTTGTATGGTTTACCATACCTTCCAGCTCATAAAGGAACCGTTGTTCATTTGGTATGTTCCTCAATATGAAGTGGTCAAATCAGTATTTAAGTTCTGTAAGGTGTGTGTGTGTGTGTGTGTGTGTGTGTGTGTGTGTGTGTGTGTGTGAGAGAGAGAGAGAAAGAGAGAGAGAGAGAAGGTGCACAAGTGCCTTGGATCTCTTCTGTTCAATGCCCACTGCTTAGTCCTGTGAACTGTTGGGAAAGACATCTTGATTCACACATGGAGAATCGGTGCTGAAATGGAACAAGTGACCATTTCCAAAGATCTTTTTCATTGAGGAATCTTCATCTCAATTTCCTCCCTGAATCCATTAATATTTCTTCATTATGATTGCCCAAGTCTTATCAAACATTTCCTCTGTGCTGATATTTTCCTCTTCTTATCTCCTATATTTCAGTTACGATCAAGCTCAGAGCTTGACCAGGACATCCTCAGTGATTGCCTCACTATCCAGCCTCTCCAGCCAGCCCCTTCACCCCATGATGCTCCAGACAATACCATGGGGCGATCACCAGGGCCAGTTCATGACATCTACCCAGGTATAGTTAAAAAGACAGGAAGACTTGCCAATATGTTGATTGCTTCATTTATTCTTCTGATGTTTTTAGTGGTGGAAAGCTGCCTAATATCTATTTTCTTTGTTTTCTAAACTACTCCTGAAAAGGACAGAACAGGATACAGTATATCAAAAAAGGTATGTCAGAGTTTTTTTGGAAGGTCTTTCTTTGACCATGAAAAGACATACAGTAGGGAAAATATTTGCCCAGTGGGAATGGAAATCTTGCCAGAGGTTCAATCGATCCATTCCTTCTTGGCTAGACCTGAAGGGAATGTTTCTTACTTCACTATTCATTGACCATATGTATGTCTTCTAACAGACCTTCAGAAGTAAGGTTAAATGTTGACAGCAAATCTTACTCACTTTTGTACTGTAGGAAAACATACATCTACCAGTAAATAGGCTTGTTTTCATAATAAGTCCAGTTTGTTTCATTTAAGCATTTTAGATTTTCACTTTAAAATAAATAGTTCTCTGGTGGTAGGTTACACTCATAATAGCTGTTCACATTTCAGCAGATGTTAAAACATTAACACAATATGAGAGACAATATCAATATTTTCCAATGTTCAAGCTCATCTGCAATAATACAGTAGGTAGCATTTCAGCATTTATTATGAAAAATATAGATAGTTACAAAAACACTTGTTCATTGTTAGCTAGAATATGTTACATCTCACTGGGCATGTCTACACGAGATGCTAAAAGCGCAGTAGACTAATTCTACTGTGCATTAGTACATCACGGCAAACGCCATGCTCATGTGCTAATACATGGTAGAATTCATTTACTGCGTATTAGCATCACTTAAAAGACGGGTGCTGGAGCTATGGCACAGTAGTGCTGGTTACCATACATTAAGTTAGTACCTGTTATTAATAGGTGCAAAACTTAATGCGCAGTATTTACAGCACGTTACTCCATGTGTAGACACGCCCACTGTGGTCTTCAGTGCATCTCAGTTGACAGCCTAAGGCTTAATTGAAAGTTACATGTAACAATGGAAAGTGTTAACTGTTCTAATGTACAACAGGGAAAATGACATTATTTAAAATAGCCAGTTTTATTTTGCTGAAGGACTTGCAAACATGGACGTTTTCAGTTTTGGTTTGCTTTGGCTGTAACAGAACTATATGGTACTTTGCATAAATGCAGTTTCTTTTGTATTTGATGTTATGCTATGATTGAGATTTACAAGAAGGTAATTCAGGCAATAGAAAGCCATGGTTTCCACAGTGACTACAACTCGACTCCTGTTCACATACAAAATATCAAGTGTTACCGTATGCGATGTTAATTTTTAATGAATGTAGCATGTTAAATCTGGTTGCAATCTGAATATAGTTCCTACCATCTGAGTGGTAAGGGAAATGTCACATGTCAGTAAATCAATTGTTCTATGGGGAATTCAAGCTTAAGCATTTTTTAAAAAGAAAAGACTGTCCTTTTCTTTCCTCATGTGTCTAAACAACTTATGGGCTATAGAGTACAGGTACCTGCAAATATATCCAGATTTTCAAAAGTTCATATATTCCTACAAAGATCTAATCCAGTGGGGGGCTGCAAAGTGTTGAGTTGTTTTGCAACCAAGTGTATTGAACTTTTCAACTGCAGGGTGCTAATTCAAATCAAATGCAGGCTGGTAGAAGCCAAGTGTTCCTTCTATTCAACAGCTGTTCAGTACCCTAAGCCTAAACCAAAGGAATTAGTGAATTTAGTCCAATTCTTAGCTTGTCCACACCATAAATGACACATTCACATTCTTTTGGCATTGTCTGGAGAAGGACCAAGCACTAATAAAGGCTAAACTCCCTCTTCTTGCAGCTAGTTTCTCTACACCAGGGTAGCACAAGGGAAGGTCAGTAGTTTTTCACCATATACTCCACTTGATCAGTGGATTCCCAGAAGACATTTTTCTTCCCAATGGCTACCACCAGCCATTATTGTCGATAACACTGAAGGCACAGGTTGCTTTTTAATAGGATGGCTGCTAGTTTGTGCATAGGAAAGTGAAACAGCCAAGTACAAGGGTGCCAAATAAGATGTCATTGTTTCCTGTATGGTTGAACCTAGCCTGTCCACAGGAAAGATATCCCCTGCCCTGTTCTCTATGATTGGGACATTGGAGGGGGTGGGGAGACATGTGGGAGACAGGGGGTGTGTTTACACATGCTATTAAGGTGGAGCAATGAACTCCAGCACATATCATGCTAGAGTTTATTGCTTCCAGGTTCCAGGTTTACACATGCAGCACATTGAGCTGGAGCAGAGCAGCCCCAGCTTGCAGGGGGCTCAGGGGGTTAGCCTGCCAGCCTGGGGCTGCTCCAACCCAGCTGTGCTGTGGAGAGGCTGTCTGGGACACAAGGGTGCTTTAGTGGGGGACTAGCCAGCAGGCAACCCCACACTGAAGCATTCTCATGCCCCAGCCAGCTGGTTCAGCATCTACAAGTGCTTAGATGCAGAGTAAAGAACTCCACAACAGAATAGTACTTGTATTTACTGTGGTGGAGTTAATTAGTTTACTCCGTCCTAATAGTACCACACAGTGTAGATGATGTAGACATTTTACTGTTGGTTGAATTAGGCAGCTCTTCAGTAAACATCTCATGTAAATGTGTCCAGGGAGGAAGAATGTTAGGGATACTGGAGGCCAATGAGTTGACTGAGAAGGTACATAATAATTTGGGGAGCCAGGGGCAGACTGAGAAGGTTGTGGGGAAAATTAAGGGAAAAGGAAAAGCAAGCACAAGGTGGGAAGCTGGTTAGGCTAAGAGGGAGATGAGGAGGATACAAAATAAAGAAGCAAACATAAAGGGGACAAGAATTCAAAGAATAAGGGAGATAAAAGGAGTATGTAGAAACTGATGGAAGAAATGTGTATGAAGAACAGAGAAATCTTGAATAGGGAGCTGGGAGAGGATTGGCTCTAGTAAAGAGAGTAAGCAGAGGAGAGGGGCAAGAGAATGATAAAAGTGAGGGCCAGAATAGTGTAAGGAACAGGATGTGGAGTGCCCTACAAGCAACCAACTTATTGTATGTGCATTTAAGTTTGAATTTTAACCTGGAAAGGATTTTGGAACAGTTATCTTTGTCCTTGGATCAAGAAAACAGGAAGTAGTAAAAAAAACAGTAACATGCATTTTATATATTTTTATTCTCATGATTTTAAATTCTATCTCATGATATTTGTGATATTTTTTGAGTCTGATTCATGGTTCGTATTGGAATGTTTAGGATTGGCAACATTACTGCCTTGTCTGAGCCTCACAGTGAACAGCAGTTCCTGTAATCAAAGAGTTAATCAAGAGCTTTTATGAGCTGTAATTTCTTTTTAGTTAATAGACTGTTTTTTCTAGCACATTTGTTTACTCATTGTTGCAGCTATCTATCAGTTGACACATGTTTGCTTGCTGCTTTTCCTTGGTGCACTGAAGACAGGTAGTACTGATTTCCGTCAATTAACCTGGGGTAGCGTGTCGGAGATAAACGAAACCATGTCACTTCATTTTGACAGCCGCCCAATCCGGTTGAAAGAAATTGTTTCATTAACTACTCATCAGGGCTCCTAAGTAATAATATACTGCATGGAAAAGTGAATTAGCACTATAGGAGAGAATAGGTTTTTTTGGAAATGACAATATTAAAATTATTCATGCCATAAGGAGAAAAAGAAAAACACTATAAAGATGACTGTGGTGTCCAAGAGAAGTTGTTCTTTCAATTTCTATGAGATTAGCAGCTCTGAGACCTTTCCCAAATGTAAGGGGAAACTTTTGAGACTATCTGAAAAAGAAAATAGATGATAAAACTCACTTTTACTGTAGAATGTATATAGGACATATTAGCTGAAATAACATCTGTGCTATTCTCGGATTAGAAACATGCACAGATGTCTATCCCACCAGTAGCCCTAAATCAAACTTTTACCATTTGGTGATGGCTTAATAGTTTATGAATATTTATAAGCAAGGGACTTCTTAACTGCTTGTCTTCTAAAAGATGTGCAAAATAAACAGTTGAAGGGGTGCTGTCAATTTAAAAAATGTGAGTCACATTTCTCTCTGAAATAATGCACCGGCTCTAGTTATAACTTATCAGTATATGTCAGAAAAGTATAAATGAAAAGTTAACAGAAAGATATTTTTCTTTTTTTTCCAGTTAAATTACTGCAGTTAAAAGTTCTTTATTTATAGTAATTTTCAGTTTCTCTCTGTATAATCAGTTCTCTTTTGTTAAAAATTTAAATTAATACATATTAATAGGGGAGAAGTACACACATTCAAAACATTTTAGTTCAGAACATACAATTTAAATGATGGTCTATAAAAACTGGGTTTATTTAGTCATTTGAAATGAAATGAGTCAATATAAAAATCTTCAAGTTTGGGATATTTGTTTAAATTTCTGAACTAGCTTTCATATGGGTTGGGTGCCCATATGTGTCACTGACTTGAGATGTTGAGCGCATCTACAAATCAGGGTATTCATCAGTTAAACATGGATTTAGATGTGATCATAGGAAAGTAGGGCTAGAAGGAATCTCACAACATCATCTAGTCCTGCCTCCTGCTCGAGGCAGGAACGTCCCCAACTAAACCATCCCAGCCAAATGTTTATCTAACCTGCTGTTGAAAACTTCCAAGGATGGAGATTCCTCAACTTCTCTAGGTAGCCTCTTCCAGTGCTTGACCACCATCGTAGACAAAAATTCCTACTAATCTCCAACTTAAATTTCTCCTACTAAATCTTGAGTCCATTCCTTCTAGTCCTGTCCCTTCTGGCCACAGAGAAAAGCCCATCCCTATCCTCTCTATAATCACCCTTCAGGTGTTTGAAGACTGTTATCAAATCCCTCCTCAGTCTTCTCTAAACTAAATAACCCTGGCTCTTTTAGACTTTCTTCAAAAGTCATACCTCCCAGGCCCCCAGTTATTTTTGTTGATTTGTGCCAGGCTTTTTGGAAACTGCCCATATCTTTCTTAAAGAATGGGATCCAAAACTGGATACAGTACTCTAGGTGAGGTCTCACCAATACTGAATATGGTGGAAGAAGTACCTCCCTTGATTTGCATGCATCACTTCTGTTAATACAACCCGGTATGCTTTTCACTTTTCTTGCAACAAGAGCACACTGT